ATTTTGTTTAGTGCGAAGCACTCTCAGCAGATCAGTCTGCTTATTTGCATGTGTCAGAATAGCAACAGAAATGGATTCCCATGGGCAATGGAAAATAAGTTTTGCACTTGGAAAATAAAATAGTAATAACCACATGGTAAAATTGCAGAGGCATGTGATAAATTGGATTTATCATCAGTCTTATACCATTCACACCTGAAATTTGCCCATAAATCCACCTCGTTTGAGGCTTATTTAATGTTTCTTCTAAAGGTGCCCTGGAGCTAGAGATTCAATTTACCTAAGAACTGACAGGGGTAAAGAAAGAAAAACATGTTTCCTTCCTTTCCTACAAAATGTGCAACTTCCCTGTCAAATATACACTAGCTTGAGTCCCGAGATGGGTACGTTTCCATCCATGATCAGTTCATATTTTGACTTTTGATACTTTGCAAACATGAAGCAAGAAGAAGCTAGGAAGGGGAGCTGGAGAAAGAAAATATTTCTCTAGTATCTAATATAATATATAGCACTGCCAGTCAATTCTACTAGAATCTGTATATGTACTCATAACTGAAGTATACATTTACACTGTTTCTACTTCAGATGAACTTAATACATGTACATTTAATACATCTGCATTTAAGATTTTTCCCAGTTCGCAAGGTCTCACTAGTTTTTCACATATTTTATCTTTCCAAGAGGTGGTGAAGCTTTACTTTTAACAGGTGCCTCTCAGTGTGCCAATCTAAATACAAGTATCCTTGGTTTTCCAAGTCTGTGCTGGTAAAAGACTAAGACTACTTTGAAATACTGCATGAATGAAAATACAGATGAATGGGAGAAGAGCGTGAATGGAGTAATAAAGGGGTCTGGTAACAAATGAGACTAAGGAAAATGAACAGATCATTCCTCACATTACCCCACTGGAAATACAGGGCAGGGGCGGTATGCTGAAATCATAATTTCTTTGCAGTCCCATTTTTCCATACTGTTAGAGCATGTCTGTCACGCTTTGAAAGAAAAGATACTAGATGCTTGGACTAGATGATCTTCATAGTCTTTTCCAATATCTCAACCATTCTGTGGTCCTGCACTACAATATCATTACCCAAAAAAGCGGAACAATCTGCAAAAAGGCACCATACAGTGGGTAAACCTGAAATTCCCCACCAAAAGATACAGGAAAATGCTGAAGAAGACAGGCGTTATGCTTTAACTTACACATCACTGAGAAAAGCTGCCACCCTTGCTGTCCAGCAGTGAGTCCACAGAAAGCGTACATGAACATTTCTTAAGTCTACGCCAGGCTCACTAGCCAAGTGCTTGAAAGAAGCAGGCTAATGTGACAGCGCCATTTGGTTCCCATGAGCTGCCATCCTTCCTCCAGGGCTCTGAAGACCCCAGGATTTAAACAGCTGCTCCTTTCCTTTCCTTTTTTGATGCTTTATTATAGCAGCAAGGCAGCAGATTGCTTATATTCCATTTTTCTCGGACTCTTTTTAAAGTGTGAATGAGCATGTGTGTATGTTGAAGTGATAACATAAGGCTAAGCCACATTTCTAGTAAATATTACTTTAAATTATCCCAGAATGTAAAAGTGCACTTGTGCAAAACTAGCTGCCCAAAAAGGGCAGCAGAGCTGTAAACCATCCTGCCTGCAAGTTGAGCATGTCGGCAAGGGAGTCACTGTATAAGGGCATGTTTAGAGGTCACGTAAGCCTGCATCCACGCTGAAACTCATGCCCTAAAACACAGAACATGCATGCACTCAACTGCAACAACCTCCCCTATGCGGGCCTTTACACTGTGGCAGGAAACCAGCTGAGACCTTGTGGTCAGAGGAGTCCAGATTCCTGGCCTTTTCATCTCTATAACATGGGTAGAGGCGAGGAGAGCAAGGAGTAGCCTCTCACCTGTGACTGAGCACGTGAGCACTGTGTACCTCACTGCTGACGCCACCTTCCAGGTGGATTTAAGCCAGTCTCTCGTTTTGACTCGCTCGAGCAGTGACAGGCAAGACATGGTCCAAACTCAGTTCCCGACCTCCCCTCGGCTGAGATGCAGTGGCCCAGGCGAGTCTCTTTTACCTGTTTCAGAACAAAATCAAGCAGGCGAAGAAGCTGCTCAAAGGGCTCTGCTTCTGAACACACAGCAAGGGCAGCCAGACCCAGGAAGATCTGCAACAGCTACATAAACCTGTGCATTGACAGCAGTAATGCCAGGTGGGCAATTGCCGGTAAGGCTGACACTATGGGTAAAGCCATAAGCAGACGGAAATGAAAAATTAAGATACAAATCAGTTGTTTCTCTTTCATCCACAGGTACAATTTAGCGATGCAAGAGTATTGTACAATGCCTTGCCATGCTGATAGAGAAGGAGGCAAGACTGCGCTGGGCAACAAGGCTGACAGCATCCCTGAATTGGGTGACACTGCTGTATAACCTCTGGCAAATCATTTCACTCTCCCAAGCTTTGGGCCCCCTTTTGTTTAAATCTCTCTATTAAATCCATAAGACAGGAACAGTGTCACTAGACTTGGTCATTGCCCTCCTTAACTTATTTGGCTGGAACTGCTACTGTAATGCAGATAAGTGAAACAAAAATGTGATGTTTTGGAAGTTGTGACTTTTGAGGACATAAATGCACACTGTGCATTCTCCTGCAGACCTGGGATCTTGCAGTGACACAACACTTACTGCTGCATGTCTTTCTTTTGGGCAAGTCTGATTTTGGAAGTGAAGTTACACTATTGGGAGTGGGAAGGGAATAATTCTGTGATAAACAGAAAGACAGCCACCAGAAATGGTAAAGCTTTTGGTCAGATTCTTGTATGAAATACACATAAAAGCAAATGGAGGCAGTGCAGAGGCGCAGTACGACCCTACAGTCACTGGGAAAATAGTGAGTATCAAGAACAAGGAACGTGTTTGGGGTTGGGGGGGAACAAATCACTGAACTGGAATCTGAAATGCTAGGCTCTTCTGTTCAACATACCACTCCAGCATCCCCAGCCTCCATCAGATGCCCTGCATGCCATACCAGGCTGAATTCAACCATATGTTTGTAGCTAAGCTATGAAATTCATTTGTCAAGTCCCAGGAGTTTTTGGCAAGTTGTCCTGTACTGTATGTGTGGTCTGCTACACTAAAACAGGCGTGCAGAGCATTGCAGTGGGTATGTCTATAGGATCCAGAGGCAACACAGCCAACAGTTTCCCTGCTCTGACTTTTGGTGCTGTGTAATAATGAAACGAAGACATTTCAGCACAGTTGCTAGGCTTAAAGCCTGCTGAAGGCTGCTGGAACAAGCTATAAATACGTATGTGAGCTCCACGCCAACTGTGTAAACTCAGAAGCTGCTTCATTCAGGGACTTTATACCCACCAGAGAGTCTGCAGCCTGTTAGACTAGAGGCAAGTCAGTGGCTGGCAAGAGTCACATTTTCCTTGTGAAAGGGGACGTGGAAGATGCTAGGACAATGCAGGGGCGGATGATGGATAGGAAATTATTTCTTGGGTGTTTTGAAAGCAAACACATAATCCAGAGTTACAGGCCCTCATTAATCAGGCAGAGGAGTCCCAAGGTGCCAAATGTCACAAGAACAGCCAGAGGACTTGCAGTCATTCGTAAACTCTTCCTAACTGAACCCTTGGCATGACATTTGCCCAAATTCTAGATCCCAATTCAAATATCAACACCTTGGCCTATGAACAGTTGCCTAGTGGCTCTGATTCAAGCTGATTCACAACAAAAGATAAATCTTTCTGCTCCTAAAAGAAAGCAAAAAGCTGCCAAGAAATTCTTTAATTCCTCTGCCTTGTGCGATCTTGGGCCAGTAGTTTTTGCAGCAAGAAGAGGTCGGTCCCATTTCTTCACCTCCTGAACCCACATCCCTCTTCCCTGCAGTGTAGATTGCTATGGGCAGTCCCGCCACCATAATTTTTAATACAGCAAGCAGTGCAGAGAGGAAGCAAAGCTGTCAGAAAGAGACTTTATCAAAGTTTTTGATATATAGCATGAAGATGTCATTTTAACAGAGATCATCAGCTGCACAACAGGGAAAAGCCAGGATCTCTCTCAGCCTAGCAAGATCATCTCATCTTCAGAAGGAACTTCAGCTCATGAAGGTCAGCAGGTACCATCTAACCTTTACCAAGGTGACAACAAGACCCATGAAACTACTGTTACACAGAGAAGGGCTGTGATTTTCCCCCCAGCAACAATGCAAAGCCACCTCCAAGGCTGCATGCTGACACCTCTGGTTCCCCAGCAACCTAGCCACCTCTTAAATTGGGTCCTTGGAGACTCTTTTCAGTTCTTCTAAGATGTATAAACTCAAATAGCCCAAACCTTGTCAGCCTGCACATTTGGGGCTAGATTGAGTCCTCATGAATGCCAAACTACCTCCATTTGAGCTGAGAATGGCAGAAGACACAGGCACTCAGCACTCCTCGTCCTCCAACCCCAACTGTATATCCAACCTTCAGGGTATAGAGGACAAATCAAACTCCTCTGTGAAAGCAACATCCTGGCAAAACTAACCACAGCTTCTCCCAGGTAATTTGGAAGATACTCACGTTTCAAATCTGCCCACTAAACCAGCCAGAAAATTATAATAGTGCCATCCAGGAAGGATTTATCCATAACATGTAAAATGCATTTCCCCACAGCAGCATGGGGAAAGCAGCAGATGAGATAAAAAGTTTTACAATGTATATGCCACACTTCAGACTATGCTCTGATAGAGCAACACCTCTGAGCACAAATCCAGTTATTTAGAGATGGCCTCTAGTCCTATACTGTGGCAGTTGTTTCCCACCTCCCACTCATGTAATATTTACATGCTAAGTTTGAAACACCCACTGATGCAGGCTGAGGTCATGAGATGCTCTGGGAAGGAACAACAGCTGTTTCCCTGTGCCTGTCCCAGCACAGTGAGGGGGACAGGTAGCGTCAGGCTGGCCCTTCGCCGGGAACAGCTCGGCATCATCCCTGCGCCTTCGGACCCAGGTACTCACCTAAGAGCTGCACTCCGCGGGTCAGTCCGTAGACGTCGATCAAAGCCCAGAGGGGCTCTGCCGTCCTCACCCCGCTGAAGAAGAGCATCGCAGCCGAGTCGTTCACCCGATAGAAAACCCGACCTTTCTTGTCCACCCAGAAGGCTATGATGTTTCCCTCGTTCGCAAACTCTTCTGGCAGAGCCTTGGCCCAAAAACCGCTCTGGGAAACCAAGTCAGGGCAGGCGTACTTTGGCAGAGTGTCAGGGTTAATCCTCGATGGATCCTTGGAAGTAAACCCGAGTCGAAGAGCCCCACTCCAGCAACACTGCTTTTTAGTGATCTGCAAAGATAACAGCAGCAATAACAGCATTTGCCACGTGAACATTGACTTACATGCTACAGGCTCTATGCTATCAAGCACCAACAGCCACCATGCAGATAAGCCCACTAGATTTAGGAAACATTTTACCCACCAAACACTGCTGTAGCTTTTTCAGTTGCAATCAGCAATGCACACTTAGTGTACAATGCACATATTTAAAAAAAAAAAAATCAAATTGAATCTATGCAGAGAGGTGAAATGTAATTACAGCTGCACGATGACTCACTTTTATTTGTAGGGTAATTCCTTTTGGCCTAAGAATCATCCTCTCAAAAAATGTGCCAAAAAATGGCAATAAAAGCTTTTATCTCAGCACCTGCAGCGACAGAGCTCTTCCCCCGTGGTGCTCAGATGATGGGGTCTCTCACGACCTGAGGGAAAAGCACCCGCTCCAGAATCACAGTCACCACCATAGGGTTTTCTGAGTTTCCCAGCCAAGTAAAAGACAATCTTACCCCTGTTTGGCTTGTCAGACTGGATGAAATCACAGCCTTGCAGCACAGAACTTGTGTGTGGGAAAGCACAATTTAAAGTATTTAACTGTATTAAAAACACAATTAGGAGGCAACAATAGATGTTGTCTTATGATTGGGGAAAACCTATATATTTCAGCTGTGAGTGGTGTTTTCCAAGATACGTTGTGCACATCTACATCCCACCTGTCAGTATGTGGTTAGTGTGTCTGGGGTCAGGAACATCTGCTATAGTTTTTGGGATGGTGCATGTGTCATATCCACCCTTCTGCACCTGAGAGACAGCAGGACAAATGACCACAGATGCCTCTAGAGTCATCGGCTTCTTCTCACATGAACTGAGCCTTGGACTGAAGGGGATCTGAGGAGAGCAGGCAGCAGGTCATGAACACATGCAACACATCCAAAACACCACCCAAGTACAAAGTCTCTTTCTTCCTCTTCCAGGGTTAGGACGGTCCCCAGATGGAGTTGATGCCCTTGGAGAATTTTTTCTCTCATTTTGTTGTTTGAGTATGACCTGCTGGAAATTGTTCCTCTCAAATGGATTCAGCCTGTCAGGATCCAGACTATGAAATGAAAGACCTAAGGATGCTGGATCCAATCCTGATGTGGAGCCAGGACAGTTCCTGCATGCCAGTTGACACATAATTGCTGTTTCTGTTCATGCACTGAACCTGCAGCAAACATGAGAGCACTTGAGATAGCCCTCTTCCATCAAAGCCTTGGCAGCCTCAAACAGTTTCACTTGGCTGCAGCACAAGGGCACAAACATGGATAGGTACCACAGATCAGATGTCACACAAAACTTGCTACCTTACTGTAATTTCTCTCTCTGTCAAAGTGCTAACGGCTCAAATGAGTGGCAATGCCAAAGACCGAATGTCCAGGACTGCAGGACTTCATTCTCAAAAGCCTGGTAGCAGCTCCTCATGGCCCAACTAGAGAACCAACAGCACAGGATTTTCACCAAGGGATTCTCCAAGACATTTGCTTTGGACCTGTGAATTCTCTTCTAATCACATTTGTAAATATTGCATTTTTATTTCACATGTTCCTCTCCAAGTCAAATCCGGAACGTGTGCCCTTGGGGGCACAACAATCTCACAACAAAGATATTTTTCAAAGCCTAAAGATTTTTGATTTATAATTAAAGTATGAGATAAAATAACGCTTCAGAAAGAAAGGTTATCAACAGAGAGTTCCTCACTTGAGTGCGCCTCTTTATCCCTACTCAGTCCAGTCAAACACCTAAACTGTTGACACGAAACACTTGAGCACTGACCTCAGTCCCGGGAACCATTGGAAGCTCCCACCTGTGGGATGGACAATGGTTTGGCACTGAAAAGGACTGAAGCAAACTTCGTATTTTATATGCCTGGCCAGGATGGGACAGGATCATGCATGTCGCCAGCAGAAGGGGGCTGGAAGGAACATGCATGGGCCAAAACGGGGAATATACGCACCCTCCAAGAAGAAGCCTGGATTATTTATTGCAGCAAATTTACTGCAAGTCCTAAAAGCTTTTGGGTCTGAGATAAATATGGCCTCATTGTTATTTGTACAATTTTTTCTTTCACAGTCTCTTGCCAATACTTCACAGAAATTGCAGGCCACATGAAGTAAATATTCATATGGTAATCAAGGCTGCACATGTTCCATGTACTAATCAGCACCTATAAACAGTTCTCAATACAGTCTGACCACAGGCAAACTAATATCCAAATTAAAATCTAGTATAAAACCTGCCAAGAATTAGACACAGCTGGACAAAGGGTACACAGTTTTGCCAAAAAAGGCAATGGTTAATGATGGACCAAATTCTCTCTTTAGCAGTCACTGCTAGCAGAAAAGCTTGGGAAGTGCACTGGGTACCAGAAGGAGAGGAAAACATACAATCTGCATCCAAATTGCTAAGCTATGGCTGTTTCCAGGGATTCAGGCTCCTGCTCTTGTGCCACCTTTGACAACCTCACCCCACTCCCTAGCAGTATCATGAGTTACACAGAAGAAACCATACTGGGACATATATCTCAGAGGCAAAGAAAGAGAAAATTTTCCCAAATCCCACACAGCTCTGGCTGCCCAATGACATTCCCAAAGATACAAAGAAATTTCAGAATAAAACCCAAGATACACCACCTTAGAATGATATCTCATGACTTCTTTCTTCTAGTTTTTCAAAGGGAGTTTAGACATTATAGGACCTGAATGATTCGGTTCATAGTTAGTCTTTAGCTGGCAAGAAGGTTTAAGAGACCGTTTTCCACAGGCACAGGCAATAACAAGGCAACTGCAGGATGGACTTATCACAGAAGCAAAGATGTTTTCGCATTTTCATCCATCCCTAGAGTGTTGAAGCCTGTTGATTACTCCCATGAGACCTTCTCATTAGACTCAGCAGGAGCTCTGCTCGTAAATCCCTTGTGCAGAGATGAAAGATTTACATGTGTATTTTTCACATGTTATGCAAGCTAAAATCCAAAAATATACAGTGATAAACAAGTGTGAATTTCCTGAGATAGCTACATTGTTTCAGAATGAGGAAGGAATAACCCAGACCCTTTGCCTAAACCACTAAATCCACTCAAATCTTTGATGGTGTTTTCAAAACTGAAATGCTGCTTTCATCTCCTCCCAAATCTTTTTTTCGCAGTTGTTTGTCCAAATGGCTGGCCAACATGGAAAATATCCCATTAGGCAACATGAGGGAGTCCTGCTGGGCTCCCAGCCTGAATGGAAGCAGTAAGGGCTCCACAAGAAACATCACAGACCTGTAGGATGGATTTTCTACCTATGGGCCTGAGCCTGAAATCTCTCTATATTTTCAGAAGGAGGCATATTCCTCGTCTCTTGCTCCTTTGCTGGCTGTGAGGGGAAAAGGCAGGGAAAGCTGATACGCTGCTGGAGGTCCCAGCACTCTGGGACCTCTAGCAATGGGCAACAATTCAGACTCAGTAGCTATACGTAGATAAGCCTGGAAAACTCCCTGTGCATAAATGAAAGGATTTGCAGGCAGATCTTTCATGTGTGCCATGAACATGTCTGCCAGAGATGATGACCTACTTTGTGCCAATGAAATGCACAGAATCCGCTAAGAACAGAAAAAACGCAGTCCCACAAACTAAAGGGCATAAAAATTGGAAAATAGCTGTGGATGAAGTGCAAGGGGCCCCAAGCTCCTTCAGGGTGCTGAGAGCCTAAGAAGTGCTTCAGTTCCTAAGGGGACTGATGAATTGCTTCATCGGGAAGCAGCTCCCGGTGCACATGGAGGCATGCTGTCTTAGAGGAGCTGAACTTCCCACGCCAGCTGCAGCACAAGGGATACCAGCTCATCTTCCTGGCCGCCACAGACACAAAGGAAGTGAAATCAGCTTCTGCCAGCGAGAAAAATGTGATGCCTGCAATGTTCTCTCCTCTGACCTTAATGCTATCAGGTGACTGATTCAGCAAAGCAGTCAGCAGACCGCCAGAAAGATCCTTTTCTCAGACGGCAGCTGTGACCGCTCTAACTGCTCCTTTCAACCTCTCAGCAAAACCCTTTTGTCTTCCCTGCCAAGCACACGAGCAGGCACCTTCACTTCCAGGTCCTTTTCATCTCTTCGCTGTTGGCTGTGGAGAGGCTGACTCCCACCTCCATGAGACCAGCCCTCACTGCTGCCTTGTCTATGGGACAAAAAGGGCTTGTTTTGGAACTGAACACCTTAACTAACCCCTCACCCTCCCTCAGCCCACCCAGTAAAAGTCCTTTGCAGGATGCACGCAAAGCCTAGAGGACATGTTGGCTAGAGAGATGCTCAGGCTGCTGCCTTTCAGGCTGACCAGTACAGCCCTTTTTTGTTGTTGTTTTCCAAGCAGTCTCAACTTAATCTGTTGTTCCTTGTCTAACACCCAGACAAGCTCTTTTGGAGCATGGATTTCCCTTTTCTTCTCAGTTTCTTCAGTGGTCTGTACTGACAGTTCCAAGAATTACGAAGACAAAAGCAGAAGTACCAACAAAGACTGCAGATCTTTAAGGGCAAGATCTGACTACTATGCTTTTCAATGAAGGGCTGAAGATCCGGTGCAAGCACCAAAGCCTGGTACACCCCGACATTCATTCATAGCAGCTCACATGGCAATAAGGGAAAGTATCATTTACTCACCTTAAGCCTGACTTGTTCATAAATAACGATGGGCCTGTTGCTGAAGGTAATGGCATTGCAGAAGCTAGCCTGGCGCTTCACTGCCTTCTGTGTTGTGTCCATGATGATCTGGGATCCCTTCGTGTGGGGATGGAAAAGCAGAGGGCTGATGGACAGAGCTCCACACTGTGGGATGGGGAGACAGTGCTTCTGCTTGTGGTGGCATCGGTGGGAGGAAGCTGAAAATGACCCACCTATGGAATCTGAAAGCAGAATGGGGAAAAAAAAGGTTTCAAATCTGCTGTGAGTAATAAGCAAAAAACTTTCAATTAAAAAAAAAAAAGCAGAGGTACTTCAGAGGGGAACTATAGATCAAAATAAAAATTATTCAAATCTCCACTCTGTAAGTCACTAAGGGTTTCTAGAGCATCATGAACAATAAAAGGCTACAAGGATATTGAGGACTCTGAACAGTCTGATAGTACAGAGCACGATATGGAGACCACAGCTCATCACTGTAATCACAGGCCATCTTGAGGCCACACATCAGAAGAGAAGGCAAGAATTGGTTCCAAAACTGGAGCAAAGCATGTGTGAGGTTACTACATCAAAGCTGTCACACTTAGGGGAAAATCTTCCACTTCCAGAGGACTCCCACACAACTTGACCATTTCTCTCACTCCTTTGCAACAGCAACTCCATCGATCCTTGCCTCCATGTGTCTTTGGATGCCATCCTATCCACCCGTGCTAAGTGCCAGCTCGGACACATGCATTGCTAATTTATATTCAAGCACCATTCAGCAATAACCCATCTGGATTCCTCCACCAACCACCATCCATTCTCCTCTCTCCTCCACTGATGGGAACCTCAGCTGAGATCCCACTTGTCACGAAGGTATTGATCAGCACGCTATGATTATGGTGAGGAAAGTGAAGAGGGAGAAAGGCTATGAAGCAGGGAGGAGATCACGTCTTTCTCTAACCAAGGCCCTACACAAAGAGTCAATGCACCATCAACACAGTCACGACAGCAGCTTTGTTCATGAACGAATGGACGCGTGAGGTTCTTTTCAACAGGGAGCCTGCAGCAGTTCAAGCACAAAACAATCATTATACTGAACACAAGTCATCTGCTTCCTTTTCCTTGTGTGCACATACACACTACATTACGCACATATGTTTGGGAGGAGATACTGGTAGATTTGGAAACAGAGTATCAACAGAATAAAGGATTATTCCGTGATAGACTCAGGGATGCAACAAAAGCAAATATGACCTTAACAATGTGCCAGTTTGCGCTTTAAAGATGAATGACTAAACAGTATGGTTAAAAACTCTATTCCTCAAACACGCAAACTATAGAAACTAATTATATACATTCTTCAAGCAAATTAATTGCTCACAGTTGTGCCTTTATATAGCTACTATAAAATAATACTTACACCTCTAATGTAATTCTTGGCTTCGTAATAAAAAGTCTGGCCCCTATTCCTTCCAGCCTTTGGAGCAGTTTTAGCTTGAAGCTACATGAAGTTGTAATGGCACGTCATCAGGGCGAGCTTGAATAACTACCAACAGAACTTAAAATCCTGGTTTCAGATGAGAACGTTTTAATTCAACTCCAGCCTTATCCTCTCATCTCCTTGCTGGTTTTTCCTTGAATTTTCCAGCACAGTGCTATCCCTTCAGAACAGAGCAGGGATGCCAGACAAACAGGACTTTAAAAACTTTCATTAATGCTTTAAGGGAGAGATGAACCAACTGGGAGTTATTTGATGCTAAAAATTATGTGGCATATAAGTCATCTTCCTTCTCCTCTTCCTCACATGTGGAGGAAGAGAAATAAGGTGCAGAGTACCAAGAAAAAGTAGAGGTTGACCTGAGCAGGCAAGTTGGAGAGGGAAACCTTCAGGAGGAACAGACTGCATGGAAGGGGCAGCTTGACATGGGGAAGGTCAGGATGCAGCGGCTCACGTGAGCCTGACCTTTTCTTGGGCACACTACTGACCCGGGGCAGTGCACCCTGCCTCTCCCACAGCCCAGACTGGGTGGTCAGAAGACAACACGAGCTGCAGCAACCCTGTAGAGAGAACCTTCTGAGGTTACATCCTAAGACCTGTTTAATTAGAGGCTCTCTTATGTCCCAAAGAACAGAAGGTTGCATCCCTTCCAGTATCACTAACTTTTTCCAAACCAGATACATTCTCTATTACCACCCCTCTGGAAAGCTGTTAAGCCCTCAATTTTAGTGATACCTTGCTGATGATCCTCAGGCTTAATGGTATGTTGCAAACAAGTATTTCCTTTATGACCGTGAACACGGTGCTATTTACCATCACAAATGGTTATGAGCCAGAGCCAGCAAAAGTGGCCAGCTTAACCTTGCTCCACTCCACCTCCGCAGGTGGGTCATGCTGGTCTGTAGGACAAGACCGTTGACAGATGGTCACAGCAAACCATCCAAGCCTCTCCTCTGGCAGAAATTTTTCAGGCCACTGAATTTCTCCATTGCTTATCTCTTAGCTGTGTCTCTGGTTTTGCTATATCCCTTTTTTACAGGTAGACTGACTAAAAGTAAGCAATCCTGCCTCTCCCACAGCCCAATGTAAAAACTTCCACTTCTAGCTTTTCCAGCTTCTCTAAAATACATATGAAGTCAGAGTCATTTCTGAAACAAGACACATATTGAGGGATATAATCAATCATTAGAGATAATATAAACTCAAAGGATCCACAGAAAAATAGGAAAAACACTTTTTCTGGTCATTTTGAGTCTTGTTTTTTTCAACACTTCTTTGATACTTTCTAACGGGGCATATATGTGAAAGAGAACCTACTACCGATAAATATACATTCAATTCATGCCACCTTTGCATCCAGATCTGAATTTTGTAGCTCAAAATTTTGCTAGCAGTCACTCACCAAAAAGAAACTTGTGCAGCACAAAGGCACACACATTTCAATTAGTTTGACTTAATATTTCAATGCTCTAATTTTACTGGATAATTTAGCCGTGATTATAACAACTGCTGCACTTCTCCGTAGGACATTGCATCCTTTTAAAATGCAGTAATGGAGTCACCAAAACTGCCCACAGCTTTCCAAACAGGCTCTGATAACAATACGCATATGTCCAGAACATCTGCTGGAGCAGCGTTACGGAGCTGTAGGGTCATGTCTGACCCCACAGGAAGGATGTCAGGGAAATGCTTATTTGCTGTCAACAGTCCGGCACAGCTACGTGAGAATGGGTCAAACCCATGCCAGACCAACATCTGCAGGACAAGTGCCCGCCATGCACACAGCTGAAACGAAGGGCAACCATGATCTATGGGAATGGAGGAAACCACCCCAGGACCAGCTTCCACAGGTGAATAATGCAAATGTGGAGGAGACCCCCTTCTTGCTCCCAAATGACTCCTGCATGATGAACACGGTCTCTGGTTAGGACCAGAAAAGGTCTTAATTTTTAAAAAGTGCAACTATTTAATAATGGGGTTTTGCATCCTATAAAGGCTTAGAGAAGTTACAAAGCAGTGGGCCAAATACAAACACCTTTGCTCACTTCTTCAGGGCAGCACGCCCACTCCAAAAGGAGGAGACACCAGGCAACTTCAGATGGCAACACAAGCAACTCAGATTGGACTTAGACAAGGAAAGGGACACTTTAGAAACATAAGCTGGTGAGATACATCACTGTCCTTGTTTGGCCGGCTAAAAATAAAATAAATCATCTGCTTAAAGTTTTTGTTCACACTGGGCTTGACCTGGAGTCCAGCCTTCACCCATTGCCTTGTTTAAACTACTACACGTTTTGACATCCTCTGCCTTTGCTACCAGCAATACTGGTACAATACAGCTGAGGCCCTTGAAGTAGGTTTCAATATTGTTTTTCTTTATAAAAAAGAATTGAGTGAAACTCACAAGCTCAGAGTTTCAGTTGGCAAAATAAGCAAAAGTCCTCCTGATTTCACAGCAATCGTGCAAGGCTCCATTAACTGAGAGTCTGTCCCAGACTCCTCCTCTCCCACAACCTGGCTTATCAGTCACTTACAAAGGTGAAGCTTGAAATAAAAATTGCAAACAAATAAGTATTTGAAATAAGGCTGATATCTGAGAGCATGTTCAAGGGCATCGCAGGTTTCCCACTCCACAACATAACACAAGTTCCTCCTGACAAGCAGCAGTTGTAACATCATGCCAGGACCACGCAAACTGGTATCTTGTGACAAAAATCATGAGAGCGGAATCATGCCTGTCTGAAAACAGCCTCTGTGCCAAAGGGCTGCAAATCTAGAGAAGCACCATGGACCCCCGTACAGCTTTCCAGTTTTCACGTTGGGGGTCACAAAGAACAGCATCTGCTCACTCTTACAGTTTTAAAGATTAAAGACTTCAGTTTTCAATTCATGTCCAGTAACAGACGCTGATTGAACCATTTCATTCAGTACTGGGTTTGAACCCTGAATGCAGCCTGCCCCTAATACCATGACTCCCGCCAAAGGAGCAGCAGAAGTGGTGACGTACCACTTGCTCCCCTGAGCCACAAGTACATGGCACGGATCGTCTGAAACCTTTAGTAAGCCAAGGTGAAGGAGACATTACTCAAACCGCAATGTGAAGCACTCTGAACCACTCTGCCTTCAGGTGTGCCACTCCTAAGCGCATCCTTTTCGGAGACCTGTTTGAGAAAACAGAACATTGCCGCAAAGGTGGCACACTTCTCCCTCCATGTGCGTTGGATGTCCCTGGTCCCCTGGATCTCAAGGCCTGAGCAGCATCCATACGCTATATAAAAGCCAGTACAGGATGTTCTCAGCTTAGCAAAATGCATCCCAAAGCCTGTTAGGGGTTTTCACCAGAAGTGTTCATGCTCTGCAAATATTAGGCATAATCTTAAAGGCTCGGGATTTCTTAAATGGTGCAAGAAATGGCTGGATTTAATTTTTTAAAATACATTTTTTCCAGTTGAAAAAAAAATCTCAATAGGCACCTATCAGAATACTGTCAAAACTCATTTCACACTGAAAACTAACTGAAAGGTATTTAAGATAAACTTCTTAGAGCATGTGAAATAAGGGTGTTCAGAATTGAAAGAAAGAGAAAAGACGACTTCAAACCAGAGCCCAGGGACTGACGTGCAGTAGCAAGTGGGAACAACACATCCCCGTCCACCTGGAGAGGAGGAGAGGAGAGGTCTGGGGTTGGTGACACAGGTACCTGTCCTGCAGGTTAATGACAGTGAAAAGAGTGGACAGGGC